AATGACAAAAAACAAGTGCTACTCTACTGCTCAAAACTCGCGTTTGAATCATCAGTGGCAAATCCTTTAAATGAAAACGTACTTACGTGAGTCAGAACTGCCGGCATTTTAGTCTAACGTTACTCTCCCAGGATCAGTAAACAGTCCTCCATAAAATGTGCTGCGCACCATCTGGATATTTGGGTTAAACTGTTCTGGAACAGTGTTGTAAATACAACTTAACCACTGATTTCTAGTCGTGTCCATTTTTGGATGGCCAAACAAAGTAGTTTCGCTTTCACAACGAAAAACACAGCGGCCTAGCGTGAGCGGAAGCCCCGGCTTAGCGTGAGCTGAGGCCGGGCTAGAGTGAGCAGACGCGGCGGGGTTGAGAACGGCGCAGCCGGCGGATCCGATGAAGGAGCGGCAAGCACATGTGACGACCCCGGGCTTCGTCCACGGTGAAAGCCGATCCGGTGATTCACAGCGCAAAGTTGTTGTATTTCCTCAGCAACCAGCACGGGTCAGCTCCAGGCATGACGAAGCAGATATCGTCCTCTTTTGGAAGGTCAAACAAAGTAGTTTCGCTTTCACAACGAAGCACACAGCGTCTTCAGGACATGGCGGCAGCGGCAACAATACTACAGCGAGAATAAAAGTTACGCCTTTCTTTGCTTGAACATTTGGGCGGCGTTATGCAAATTTTCCCAGATCGTGACGTAGGTATGTGGGGGTGTGTTAGAACGAGCCGTTTTAGGTAGGTGTGGCTGACTCTTAACTTTTATAAAGAATATCTCTTTGGATTTGAGACTTTAGTCTTTGCAACTTTACAGATCTTCTTTATGCACCAAGAGCTTGTAGCACTCCAAAGAGAAAGGAAAAATTGAAATCGCATCATATGACCCCTTTATCATAAGCATAGCCAGGGCTGTACACATATATGTCGCACGTGCTACGAAAAAACTGGTCTGTGCGATGAATAAATTTACCACTGTAGCACGCGTGCGATACAGTTTTGCATGTTCATAACACAGCCGCTTAATAGAGTGAAGTGATTTCGGTGTGCTTGTTTGTGTGTGTGATATTGATTATACTTGGTTTAGGGGTGTGCGATATGACGATTTTTGATCGTGGACGATTAAAATGTTTCCACCATCTGCTTTTGAAGAAATATCGTTGTATCGTGCTACAGCGCACATTCTATCAGCTGCAGTTCTGGCGCCTCCCTCCGTCTCAATATAATGTACAACGCCACATGCATTCACATCAGTGTTAGCTCAGAGGTAGAGTTACTCTCACGGGACACTGCACTTATGCGCAGTCACAAAACTACATTATTTGCATCTGCTTTAAAGCCATACCGGTTAAACATTTAATTCACGTGCTGTTCTGCATGTGCTTTTTCTGAGTGCGTACTCATGAAGCGCGCTCACACTTAGAGCCTGTCAAAAAGTGCCTGATTATTGGACTAAGCTGTCTTTCGCGTCTGATTTCGCATCTAATACTGTCAAAAACACACAAGGTTTACATATAAACACAGTTGGTTATGTCTAAAATGAAAGTAAACAGTTGAGAGAGAAACGCGTGCAGCTCTTAAAGGGACAGTAGCTACTAAACATGCTGCCGACTGTCATTAAAGGGATAGTTCACCCAAAAAATAAATTTCTGTCATTTACTCACATTTTGTCCCAAACCTGTACTAATTTCTTTCTTGTGCTGAACACAAAAGAAGATATTCTGAAGAATGTGGGTAACCAAACAGTAGCTGGTCCACACTGACTTTTACAGTAGGAAAAAAA